GTATATATTTTATTTTATAAATTGTATAGTGTATTAAATGTCTGCACAAGTTAGAAACAATAAAAAGGATAGTAATAGATGGACAAAGTGTGCAAGTGAGAAAAAAATTCCTTACGGCAATTTAACAAGATAAAAAAGGATAGCAAATCTCATGACTTTGTAACAGATTTTGAATGACAGGTCAGCACAATACGGTACGCAAGAAATAATCTCCTAGATAGAGTATTATAATATTTTTTAAGTAATTATTGTTTTCCAAAGTGGTTACATGTTCTGTGAGTGACTGTGGTGTTAATAAAAGAAATCATCCAGATTTTCTTTCGCATCTACCATGGGGAGTGCTCTGAGGAATTGTTCGGATTAATCCCAGCCGCCAAATTTCACGAACGCACATCGCGGCAGAACTCCCGATACCATCCACACCATCTGGATTATTGGCGGTCCACCACTGTGCGATTTAGAAGATGTTTTCTTCCTCGCACGACCTCCTTGTGGAATCGATTACCATCAGCGATTTTTCCGGACCAATACGACTTAGGGACCTTCAAGAATAGAGCGTACTGATTTTTAAAAGGCCGGCAACGCATCTGCGATTCCCCTGGTGTTGCAGTTGTTCATGGGCGGCGGTAGTCACTTACCATCAGGTGAGCCGCATGCTCGTTTGCCCCCTCTCCTATAAAAAAAAAAAGATAATTACACATTTTACGTCAATAATAAGACTCCTCGATTTTTGGTTAAATTTTATGTTATATACTGTTTAAAATATAGAATATATTCAATTATTTTGTTAATTTTGATATTTTGCAAAGAAAAATGTCATGTCGTTGATAATTTGCATGAATTTGGTAAATACATTTTTATACAAAATATTTTACATGTAAGCTAGGAATTGATTTAACTATATTAAAATTAATGTCGATATTTATATTGAATGTCTATAATGAATAGAGAGACTTGCCCACACAACAAGAAGAGGAATGAAAATAAATGATTGGTTTGTGTTCTAAAAAGGTAATTTTAGTTTAGCGTTTGTCAAACAGATTCCCTCCGAATTCTATAATTAGAAAAAATGGTTAAGGTTAATTGGGCTGTTTGGTTGGAATCCAAAGAAGAACTCAACAATTTGCAGTAAACATTTTTGAGAAGTATAAAAGAAAAAGTAGTATAAAAACAATTTTATTAAAACGAGCCATTTCTATATTATTTGTACCTAGTAAATATAATATCGTTATAATAAGACTTCAAAAGTTTAACTTGAAAACCTTCAGATAAAAATAGCGATAGATTTTTATATATTACAAAACTGTAATACATTCAAGAAAAAATCTTGTGATTATCCTATTTCAGCCAATATGAATCCAAATCTATTTATCAACTACAAAAATGTATAACCTTACTCCACCACCCGCACACTATTACAATATTCATAGCATCATGCTATTTTCCCCAAGGGTTGAGCGCAGCTTTGGATTATATTCCAAACTCACAATGATAAAACTTAGCATATCATAGTTAGGTATTTAGTAATACTTCTGAAGCGCCACTAGACGCCGGCACATGCGACGCGCGATTCAGTGTGCCTGGAAAGTAAAACTTCCACAGTATTTGATACACAAAACGCTCTATGCCCAACGATAGTGTGACGAAGGCTTCATAGCGTGTTTTATCCCCTACAGCGTTAGTTGTACTCGTGGTTAAGTAACAGCTGCGTGGATCATTAGATCTGTGAGACTAACCTCTACTTGCCGCGGTCAGTCCATGGATACCCATCCATGTTGCACTCTCTATTCTCTCAATCTCGGTATGTTAAACCCGTTTTCTTAACATACCGAGATTGAGAGAATAGAGATTGCATCTGTATCCTCAGACACTTGGTGCCTTTTAATATCTCCTGCGTATTTGGCTTGTCTCTGTTAAGATCATTATGTTTTTAAAACTCATGCAGCTAAAATCATAATAAATTTATTGATACTCTATATTTTTCAGGGACGGATGAAAGAAAGAGAGTAGCCTCATTCTTATGTTAATCGTAATATAACCCCTCCACATTTGAAATCACAAGATCAAGAAAGAAGTTATCAACTAACGCTAAAAAAAATATTATGTCTTTCGTGTCTCCGTTTTTTATTTCACCAGCGTTTCAAGATGATTACTCTAAACAAATTATTACGGTTACTTATTGATCACAAGCTATTTCCTGCGACTTCAACCGCGTGTAATTTAATAAATTATGGATTGATTGGATTTCATGGGTTTTAATTATTTTTTGCGTGGAACTCCAATTATTTTTTTAAAATAAAAGTAGCCTAAGTTACTCGTTATAGCATCTGCCAGTGAAAGTCCCGTCAAAATCGGTTCAGCCATTTCGAAGATTAGCCGGAACAAATAGATCGACATACAGAAAAAACTGTTTAAAATTGTGTTTTTGTTATAAGTAATGTATAGACTTTCATATGCATTTAGTAAAAAACTGTTATTTTAACGTTACAAACAAACACTTCAATTTTATTTATTTGTATATAAGTGTAGATTAAACAGAAAAATCTTATTTAATTGATTCCTTCAAGTTTCCTTACTTAAATTATTAAGTTTACATTATATTTAAGTCGGATTAAAATAAACTTCTATAATGTATTTAATTATTAATTATTAAATGTTCGTAATTATTAAAAGTAATATTTATATGAAAAATAAAGCAGCCATTATGTACTCCGTATCACCATTTTTATTTCACCAGCAAAATATTTTATAAAGTATATGAAATATAAATAGGTATGCACTTAATTAATTATATACTTTTTTATATTTTTATTAACATTATGTTAAAAAAGAAATTCCGGGGAAACTGTACCATGGCCGTAAATATTTTTGCTATAGGTATATACATAGCTCGAAAATACAATTTTCTTATTTGATTCTTAGGAAAAATTGTTTAAGTTTATTCGGTAGACCCCTCTTCTGAGATTATTGGGATTATCTATATCTATATATCCAACAAAGCGCAGGTAGGTGGTGCTTATTCTTGGAAACATGTTTTATGAATATTTTTTAATTATTTTAGAAAGTCATGTTAAAATTTAGTTAATATTTGATGCTATTCAGTTTCGTGCACTAAAGTATTTTTTTAATCGTTTTTCCGTTTTCTTAACAATCGTTTTTCGATAGTCCGTGTAAGAAAAATGTACATCACTAGCTAACACACGCAATGACAAATCAAAATTTGTCACGCGTTTTCTGCACAGACTAATATGATGGTCAGTTTTCGGGTTATCAGGGCGTCTATACACCAGTATAATCTAAGTCTATGATTTAAAATATCTTTTGGTAAACATAAACGTGATTGCGCTAGCATTTCTTATTAGCTTGGGAACGTAATTATATGCTCCAGCTTGTTACATATTTATTAATCTGTGATATACTTTGAGTCAATGATGTAAGAGTCTGGTCTGGTCTTCGAGCATATTCTATGCTCACAAACTAATAAGATTAAGAATATAAGAGGGGTTTTGGCGAGGACTTGAACGGCCACGGATTGCCGCTCTTGTATTATTGTTTAAATAATGGTTTGAAGTGGATTTTGATACGTAAAAGTGGTGCGATTTTATGTATTAAATGTCTGCGCAAGTGAACTATTAGTGCAAACGGTGAAACATGTGCTATGATAGTGATGTGATTGTCAAGGTAAGCTGTCTGTCTGCTTAGGTGCCTTGAGATACCATCGCCAACTGTCAGCTGTTAGCTGGCTCATGTTGCCGTCAAAATCTCCTAAGGGCTGCACAATGTGACGCATCAATATATTATGAAGCAGTGTAGTCTTGTACCTGCTCAGTCATTTTAAGAGATCGATCCGTAATAGTTCATTACGGACAGTGAACTAGATCGTTCTATTCGTTCTATTAGTTCACTGCACTGAATGGAATGGTTATCCCAATCAGTCAGTCTCCGTCGTTCGATATCTGCTCGAATCGTAATGTTGTATTGTCACTCGTACACACACACACACTTTATAATTTCTTGGTCAAATTAAAAGTCTCAAGTAAATTAGTGTTGAAAAAATTATTAACGTTAGTGAAATAAAATCCCATGTCCATAACCTGCGAAAATAAAAAGCATTCAAGGATGCAGTGAGTATTAAAACAATACAAAAATAACTCACAAAAATACTCATCAATAATTATTATAAGATAACTTAAATTTCATTACATTTTTACGCGATCACAAGTGCCGAAACGAAGTCTAGCAAATATTTGTTTGTATCTATTTATTAAGTATAACAATTACAATAATTTGTAAACCCTGCGAATCTAGCATCTTTTCGGGTCATAAGTTAAATTGGACGTTATTGCATTGATATACCTAACATGTATCTTTCTGTAACGTCTCATTTCAACAAATTTGATCAATGGTACCAATATACTTTAGGCATTCGTCGGCTCTTATCCGAATGACTGACTACCGATTCTCGTTCGCTCTGGTTCGCACGCTCGCTCTGGCTTCTTATGAGTGTAGGTGTACTAAAAGAACTATTAGACCGATTTACAATCTACGTTCGGAAACGTTTCTTCTAGTACAGTGCTCAGATATGTTTCCTATTCGTGCATCGTATGCGACAAGTCTAAAGCAGTGTATTATGAAGGAAAATTATACATTTACCTTTAGGCTCAGAAGAGCTAGAACCCAGAGCCGTAAAGCCAGTTAAAAAAAAAAATAATATTAGAAATTCTATGCTCGAAGACTTGAAGTGTCTGGTGACGTGCCGTGTGTTCTCGAAACGTGGCTGACGTTTTCTGTTTTGGATTGTGTAGTTCTTGTCATATTCATAACTGGTGGAATAGATAATCCATTTATAAGAACGCGTAGACACTTTTCTACTTAGGTTCACAATATTTTAGAATTTTGAAAGTATTAATAATAGCAGGTAAGATATTTTGGTTTTATTTGGCTTGAAAATTACCAAAAATTTGACAATATCTTATTATATTTATTTTTTATTTCAGAATATGGACCAAATCGCAAAGTTTGTCGAACCAGGCAAGCAATTCGCTAAGGATTCTATAAGATTGGTCAGAAGATGTACAAAACCAGACAGAAAAGGTATGTTTGTTTTAAGAAATTATGTTACTTATATAAAAGTTGGTGGTTCTTGCAAGAAAATACAAGTGTTAGGTTCTCTTTCTATCTTTAGGGTTCTATGATAATTACATTGTTATGGTAAATTTATAACATTAATATAACTTGCATAATAATTATATTTTTACTATAAAAACCATGTACTGTGTAGTGGTGGTGTAAGAAAATCCACTATATCATATCGTCTCGTGGGTGTCGTAAGAGGCGACAGAGAGAAACAAATCAGGAGATAGGCAGCAGTGTCTTCCTAATAACACCTAAAAATAAAATAAATTGCTGTTGTCAACAAGCCTACCAAGTATGGCAACTATGGCAAATATCACTTTCATGAGGCAATATAAGGGGGAGGCCTATGTCCAGCAGTGGACTATAATAGGCTGTAAAGGTTACTATAAAAATCTATAAATGTATAATGTTAGAAGTTTGTTTTTATGTAATTGATGATACATATTACATTTCATACAAACTACTTCCACTGTTAGAAATATTCTTTTCATTTTTTATTTATTTATTATGCTATATTGTCCGTCTACAGCATATTTACTTACTATGTTAGGGTGAGGTAAATACTGGATATTAAATACATTTAACAAATTTTATTAAAATGTTTAAATTTTTACAAAAATAACTTGGATCATTGTAGGCTAGAGTAAACTTAAAATTACATTTTGGTGATGGAGAGAAAACTCATGCTTGCATGTGGCTCCAACAATGAAGTGTATAGCTGCCAGAAGGACCTCAAAATCCAACTGAAAATCTCAGGTGTCCCTGAAACGATGTTAACACTTTCAGTCTTCAGCTTCGATAGTTGGCTCTTTCTGGCAGACAGATCTCCGGCAAAGACTTTGCAGCCTTGGTTCCACTCAATTGCTTCTTCAATATGAGCTGTAATGAAGTTGCTTAAGTGCTGCTGCTGGTGGGTGGAGAGAACTGGAGATCCTTTCTACTGGAAATAATGCATTTTTTCTTAGTGCTCAGGGGTGACAATGCATCTGCATTTTGATTTTTAATTGGGGATATATGTAGATGTCCATGGGACACTGTATCTTACAATCTGGTGGACAGTCCACATCAGTGATCTCTTGTTGCTGATATTATATAGAAAAAAATTGGGAAATTATGTTTGTCTTTATAACAATATTAGTAGTTAATAATGCCATTAACTAGGAAAGGAAGGAACTATTTTTTGCTGTTATAAGCTAGTGCTTGAAAACTTTCCCACCTGATGGTTTGTGGTGATGCAGCCAAAAATGGTAAAGTGCAAACTATTGATATTAAATTAGTTTGCATTTTCAAATCAGTGAAATGAAGGCTAAAAGATATATGCTCAATAGGATCTCATTAAACTAGTTTGTTGATAATGAACTATCCATGGGGGAAACCTTACTTATATATCCAACATTGATTTGCAGCTGTATAAAAGTAATATGACAACTAAAATAGCAGGGTTGTTATTAAATTTGGTAATAAAGTAAGATGATTGTTTGAAGTTAGTTACTTAGTTTCAGCCTATATACGTCCTACAGCTGGGTTGCTCGCGTACTGTGAAATTTACAGCGAGCGCCAAGCCCCTGAACTACCATGACTCTAAATCATTGAATGTTTGAAGAGTACTTCTAAATTTATTGTAATGCAGCTGAATAGACATTTATCATTTTAAATTAATGGTACCTATTTTTTTTATTTTCAGAATTTCAAAAGATTGCGATTGCCACAGCCATTGGATTCTGCATCATGGGATTCATCGGTTTTTTCGTGAAGTTGATCCATATTCCCATTAACAACATCATTGTGGGATCATAGACTTTAGATAAATTATTCACTTAGATATAATTATTATCTTTAAGCCCAGAGACACCACTAAGTTAAATTCTCATTTTCATATTAAATCCTCTACTTTATACAGTATGTTTTAAATGAATAAATTATTTCATTTTTAACCAGGTTTTTAGTTCTATCGGTTTACTCAAATTTTCGCTTATATTAGTGGGAGAGCGGGCGACACATTTTGAACATGGATTTGACCCATCTTGTTATATAGCTCAAAAGTGTCGTTTATGAAAGTTGTGTAGGGAATGGCTAGTCTGCCTGGCATGTACAGGACTCTGGTTATAAGTTACATCGGATGCCTTAGTCACTCTCATGGCAACTATACCTATATATGATTTTTTTCTTAAAAGTAGAAGGGTGAAAGAAATATAACTTATAACCTGAGTCTACTGTACCTCCGGTTAAGCCACGTGAACGCTCTAAGCCAATGAGAATGCAACATGAACACTCTCTCCTATTCATTCTTTCCCGTCTTCTGTCTGGTTCTATTTTAAGGAATAATTTTAGAGTGCCTGGCAGTTTTTACACCGCCGAAATGATCTGGTTTATTGGGATTATTTTTTAAAAAACGCTATAAACTTGTTGGTGTGGGTCAATATTTTTGGTTGAAATTTAGAATCGTTTGGCAGGAGGAGGGGGCAGGAGATGAGGTGAGGGGAAAGGGAACCCTTACTCCCAACACCACTCCCATCAAAAGGTAATACACCATTCTTGAAAAAAATCAAAAAGAAAATCCCATAGGCCTAACCTGAAAGTAACATATATCGTCTCCGGCAAGAGGGTGGCAGAGGGGAGCAGAAGTGTGCCCTATCAGAGAAAGCCCCTCTAACTTTTCCTCCCTCGTTGCGGAAAAGTATAGTTTAAGAGTAATGGTTTTTTTTGTAAAATCATAACCTCACTTTTTTACATAGGAATATTGAACCAAAATTACTTCTACAATGGCTACGGTGCTGCGGGAAGTGCAGCCCCTTCGCCCTTGCGTAGCGAATCACAGGCACCCAGACGGGCGGGGGCTGCTCTCCCTCCGCGCCTACGGCTTTACAAAAACACTCTAGGAGTAGGCAGACATGACTACGTGGAGTCGGGGCGTACTGATTTAATTTTAGTACAGATTCGATCAGATCAGATATCTTATCTATAAAGTCAGGTTGCCTTCGCTCCCACCACAACCCAACTGATTACAAATGAAATTATTTTTATGTGTTCAAGTATTTCTGGGTAGTTTTAAACAATTCAGAAATAAAACAGTACATATATTATAATCATTTCTTTGTCTGAAAACATATTTTTTTTATTAATTCCTCAAAAGGATCTCTTTTATTCTTTACTAGCTGTGCCCCGCGGTTTCACCCGCGTCATCACGTGTCCGAGGTGCGCTACATGACCTAGTTCAAGCATTTTGTAACGGCTAGGGTTTAAGCGTCGTTCACGCGCCCAGCCAAGTATTGAATTATTTTAATTTTACATTATCTCTTAAACTATGCGTCCAAATAACATGGTATGAAGAACAAAGTTTATCTTCATAAAATTGTCTTGATGATGAAGTAACTTTCGTTCGTAAGGATAAATAGGCCATGCCTAATAATAACGCTCATAAATCACTTTTAAATTTTCAATATATTTTTGTCACAAAATACCAAATTATGGCTTATGTATAAGGAATAGACATATGGTATCGCGGACTCGTTTTTAGACGGAGTAAAGGTCTATATTTTTCTAGAACATTGTATTTACGTATCCCTAACGATAACACCAGCGTACTCTGATAAATAATTTCGGGAGTGCTTTTTCTTCTGACTTGCTTAACAAATATCCATATTTAAGGCTAGCTGAGTAATATAGCTTAATGCTAGATAGCCTATACTATTCCTCATGAATCTGGCTATAATATAAAAAAAGAATTTTTCAAATCGGACTGGTGGTTCCAGAGATTAGCGCGTTTAAACAAACAAAAAAACTCTTCCGCTTTATTATATTAGTATAGATAATTTCTCTTCTCCATAAATATTCATATATCAGGTCGGTAAAATTTTCACCATTATTATAGTTGTCTTTAGCGAAATCTCTTGACAGAGAGTATAGACAGTAGGATAATGTGACACTAGTCTTACGTCCTTGTCGCACTTACACAAATTTCTGTATGCTATCCAACTTTAACAGTAATATTGCATACATTTTTCCCTTAGATTATTCATAAGTCATCGCGCGCTCTGACTAGATATCGCCGGCGCTCTTGTAAAATGCGGCAACAAATACTACGCCGGAATCTGCGTACCCGAGCCAGTCGCCATGGGCATGCAACTTAGAACTTTTACGAACAAAATGATGTTTTATGTGCTCTCATCTACATTCCGAAGCGCTAGGCTAGACTTATTTTAATCTCACTAGAGGGCACACTTATATATTAAGTCTATGCATATGCAATAATCCATGCGCACTACGCAGCTTGTAGCATATTTGCGTATGAAAATAAAATTATGCGCATTTTTTATTACCCTATTTTGCGTTAACTGGGCATAACCAATGATCACAAATTTTATTTGCGTTATGTTATAAATAGGTTTAATTACTATTTCAAAATCTTTCGGATAGAGGCCACACTCCTTGTGAGAAGAATACGCCAACGAGCGATTCCTAAAATGAGTATTACCAAATGAGTACCTCGCGAGGTAAAATGAGGTACTTGCTCATCCTCAAACAAAATAGACGAGTAACCCATGACTACTCTTGACTTACGAATAATGACTCCAACCATAGATTTTTATTTCAAACTATCCGCTCCGGCCCACAGAACACTAATACCCTTAGGCTCCGGCCTCACAGGGGTGATTTCTGGATCACGACAACGTACCCTACCGGGTTCAATTGTGAATCTAAACCATCCAGGGACCCACTCAAACACACACAAAATATTCACCAAAATTAGTGGAATCATTTCGAGTTTTACCGAGACTAACGGGCAGCAATTGCTTTTTATTTACAGAGATATAAAAACAACAGAAGTGTTTTAAAGTTTTTATAATTGCTGAGATAATTATGATCAAAGTGCGCTTTTGCGCACGGCGTGGCGGGCGTGACGTAACTATCCAAGAGCAAATATCATCCGTGGCCAGAGTATAATAAGTATATACAGGAACACAAACAATATAGAAACACTACGCGTTATAGGAATCCGACGCTATTGGTCTTTTTTTTTAAAAACGTTACCGCCACACTAGGATTTTCTCCTGTATCGTGGAGGCAGTTTACAAACACAAATTGCACAAGGACAAACATCCAGACCCGGAACAATTATTTATAGGCCATACAAACACTTGTTCCGTGCGGGATTCGAACCCGCGGCCCCCAGTGCAGCAACTCATTGCTAAGCCACTGCACCACGGAGCCGTCGTTCGAGGCAACGGAGCTATTCCGATGATATCCGTCTAGGTAGTCAGTCTGACATCTGACATTGACATTGAATTGACAAAACAGATTGGAATGACCAAGGGAATGATTCTCCAACACTATAAAATGGCAAAATTCCTAGCGAAGATAGAATTACAACCAAGCTTCTGAAAGCGGATGGAAAACCGAAGTCCTTATGAAGCTTTTTAATTCCGTACTCCATGGTGCATTACTCCGGAGGCAGGGAGCAGAAGCACATGAGTAAAGAAACCGACCAGAGGGGAAGCTACATACAAACGGCTCGCTACGAACACACCCATACATAGCGCAGAGATGTGTGCGTGAGCTCTCACCGACAGGTTCACCGACGCTCCGTCGGGGTACAAACCGGTTTGCGCCGGCTCAGTCAGAGTGTCCATGAAAGGGCTGTTTGTTAGTCGTGCGCATTTAAAAAAATAAACCAATAATATTTCGAAATTTTATATATCAATTAATTTATTAAGTCTTTTTGCAATTATTAAATAATTGGATTTGAGTATTTTAATTAAAATAATTAAGAATTAAGTTATTATAAATTTATATGGGTAAATAATAAGTGTTCTGTATAAGCAAAAATGCCTAATAGTTGTACAGTATGCATGAATAATTCTAGAGAAAATAAGGATATTTCCTTTTTTTTTGTACTCGATAGATCAAGTGAAGTAAGTACCTTTTTACCTATTACATACAATAAAACTAGGTAATAACATTGATAGGTAAGTGAAAATGTGTTAGACAGGTACGTCGCCTAGTGATGAAGTCGGTCTCACCTACTTGAACCGTTAGTCAGTCTAACCTTGACAGTGCCGTAGATGGTAGGATATCCTACGTAATAAGGCTAAATGTGTGACTTTATCCAACCACTTTAGTATAGAGGTAGGTTGCTTCCTTGGGAAGGATATAAGCTATTTTTTGCGAGTCGCGACCCCAGGAGTAAATAACACTGCACTATGGTTGGAATAGAATCGCCAGACATTGGTGGGGATGGTGGGATTGGTGTTGGTGAAAGTGGTGCTGGTGTTGGTGGATAGTGTTGCTGATGGTGTCGGTGGTGGTGGAGGTGGTAGTATCGTAGGTAATGGTAGTAGGCAGTGGACCCACAGTGGCTACATCAAGACCACCCCCATCACCACCATTACTATAACCACCACCACCACCGCCACTGCCCACGACCACCATCACAGCCCTTACTACCACCACCACCACCACTTACACCAAAATTATTGATTTCGAACAATTAATAGATATGTTGTTACATTAATATAAGTTTATTTATTATTAATATATTAATACACATGTTGTCTTATGCTATACAATATTTTTATTTTTTCCTTAAATTTTTCACATGCATTATGTGACAACCCTATTAGAATAGGTATACATTTTCGACCTTGTTAAGAAGCTTCCCCTCTGGTCCTTACTCTTTACTCTGTGGCAGAAGTGCTGAAAGTGCGGTGGTCTTGTTTATTAAGAAAGGTAACAATGCTCTATTGAAAAAATACAGACATATTTTCCTTCTTTTTCACCACATATACATCGGCAAATTG